CTTTGCTACAGCGACTTCAATAACTGGCTCGATTTCAGAAATAGCGGCGGTAGCAGTGGCAGCAGCAATAGCAGCCATCGGACCTTCTGCTGCAATAGCCAAAGGATTAGGCTGCAGGACCACAATTGCAGCCGCCGACGTCGCACCATCCCCGACGTCGGCTTTCGGCGGATTCATAATCGGGTTCTCCAGGTAGGCTTTCACTAACTTCTTACGACCCATTCCTGTCAGACGCAACTCTTTGCTCTTCCCGACTTTAGTTCGAAGCTCCAAATTCGGACTCCTTTGTCGAAAGGCTCTAGCGTCACGAACGGTCTTAAAACCGAGAACTCCGAGAAGTGGATAATACACTGCAAGTATGAAACCGAGTTATTATGACATCCAAAAGCTACCGACTTCGAGTAAGATTGAAAAATTCAATTTGAATTTACCTGGTTGAAAAGAACCGTCTAAAATTTCTGGACACAACCCAACAGCTTTCAACCTTAAATCCTTTAAAATCAACTTGAAACCGCGCTGTGTCTTCTTGAGTTTGAATAGTTCCGAAATTCTTCCTCTTAAAGTTGCGCTGAGTTCAACTCCTTTGCTTTTGGCTGCAAACAGTAAAGTTGTTGACCTGTTAGTACACAAATAAAAAGCAAGTCAGAACAAACTCGGTTTGTTGGAAGAAAAGACAATACTTACAAACTGCAGAATTAATATTAATTGGAATTGACATTCCATCAATCAAAGGTTTATTGAAATTCGGAGTTTGCCAATCCCCGCCGACCCATAGCCATTCCTCTTGGAACCCATGTAATGAATCTGGGATTTCTGTGATTAAATCACCAATTTTAAAACCGCTTTGGGGTCTTCCTGCGCAAGCGTAGCAAATCAAAGGATCTGCTACTTGCCTATCAGTACATCTCCTAAACGAGAAAAGGCTCCTTAATTCTTCAACGGTTGGCATATCCCAACCCTTTTCTTTCAACAACACTAGGAGACCAATAATTCTCTTCCACGAATTGGGCGCTACTTGACACAAACTGATCCCCCAATTCCTTAAATAATCTGTGATTAAAGCGGGAAGCGGAAACCTTAAGCCGGATCTCAATGAGTCGGCAAAAACACCAATACAGCCTGGTGGAGGACACGTAATTCTTTCACCCGGATACGGAGCAAATAGCTTTACCGAGGAAGGAACATAAACTTCTCCTCGAAGCATAACGATGTCAGCATCGGTAAGAATACTCGGTTCGCCCCTATACTCGTCAATCGGCTCTGGCCACCGACGAGCAGGACGCCTCCAATAATCCGGAAGTGACATAGCGTCCTCTTCAACCCGTTTGTCCTCATCAATGATATCCCTATTGAGATTCAGACTTTTAACCAGAAGAGGATCCCACCGATAATACTCCAGAGGTAATTCCAAATCCTCATCGGTAAGGATCGGAATATCAGAAATTGTTCGGCTACTACTATCCTCAGCTTGTGCAGACATCTCTTCTAAGATCGATAAAAATAAAGGAAAGCTCGAAACAGAACAAGGAAACAAGACAAATTAGGGCAAATTCTTACCGAAATTTCCAAGGACGAGTTGAGGAAGAGATCAAAGAAAAAACGAGTGCGCGAAGAAAATATTCAAAGGGAAAATCACAGAAAGGACACAAGAAAAGCCAAGAAGTTTAAGGTACAGGAATTTTTCGCGCATTGACACCGACCTTAATTTATAGGTTTCGATATATGACCGTTAGAAGTATCCGGAAACGGCGCGTGTAACGGACGTGTCTTCAAAGGACATAATGTTACAGTAATTATTAGCCTACGTGGCCATATCCTGAAACGCCATGTCGTTACAAAATTGTATCCGTTGGGCCCATTTAATGCGACACATTTTTTAAGAGCCGCCATGTCAGATCAAATACCATAAGTGCCAAATAAGGCAAAGTGTTCTCATGTCGGTAAACAACGCAAAACAAGTCAGACTAAGGTGGAACAACAGACGACATCAGCAACCATTTAAAAAGTTTTAAATACTTACTGATGTCGGGGGCCTCACTGTTGATATCAAATCCAGTAATAGAGATTGAAGATAGAAATTAATTGAATTATTGAAGTATTACAAGTCGGAATATATTAAGAGCAAATTACCGACTTCTGAAGAATTACCGATTTCCGAACATCCAACTTCTGAAAGACCTTCAAAAGAATCGAAACCGACTTCAGGTCAACCGACTATCACAGAGTTGAATATTCCAACAGAAAGTAATCATTAGAAGCATCTGATTGGACCAACGAAACAAAAAGGCAATCATTCATGTTTCCCGCCGCTTCAAGAGAAGTAGCTTGACATTAAATGCGCCTTTATCCATTTCGAGCAAGAAGACAAAGGCCACCGTACTATAAATAGCAGAATTTATGATAGTACGAGGATCTTTTTGAACACATTGTACACGAACATAAAATGATCTCGGTTTTCAGCTTAAAACCGACTTCTGTACTCGTGAACATAATCAATAAAATCCAATAAAACTTTTATCCTCATTTTCTTAACATCAACTGTGTTTAATTTTAAGTTGTTAATTCAAGACAACAACACGCCCTTTGTCAGAAAAGTTGGCATGTTCTTCCAGTCGCCTGTCTGCCACTATTACAAAAGCCCAATGGTGCTTATTCTTTCTTCTTTTTTTGTTATAATAATTTCCCGGTAAATCGGGAACCTGTCTGCTACTATATTGACATTTTTTACTAATGTAATTAATAAACATGTTTAAAATAATAAATATAAATAAATACATAAAATAAAAGAACAATTTTAGATGGAAACATGTATGCAATAAAATTTACTTAATTTGTTTGCAAGCAGCGTTTAAAACTTAAATTATTTTAACTTTTATTGAAATGAAAATGATTTATAAGTTACCATCCAAATGAAAATTATTCCAACTTTTAGTTTACAAATAATAATATATATAAATACATTAATTTGCCATTGGTACAGGATATATAGGATACGGGGAAGACGGGTTATATTGGATACCACCTATTGATATGGAAAAACTTGTCATACAGGTTGTACCGGATACCGCTCATTAATACGGTACAATTACACACAAAATATAGGAAGCACGGTTATACCGATTTGTATCGAGATGTGACCGCAATTATCAAAAAATATCGGTAAATAAAAAAATACTTCAGATTTTATTAATTTAACAAAAAAAAAAAATTGTAATTTGTTTTATTTATTTTCCTGTACAACAACACAAATAAATGCTTGTGGGTGCAGAAGCATGTGCAAAATGCATGTATATTAGTCAACCCTCTTAAATGCAGGTATGGAAAAAGCATGATCCAAAAATATGCATTTGGCTTTTCTTCAGTACCCCGCCCATACCACCATTCCCCTTTTCCCCATCTACCATGTGGCTTTTCCCTCTTCTTTCATATCACCCATGCCTGTCAGCTGATAGAATCAATTGTGCACTAATTTTTGTCTTCTTTTCGTCAACCATCATCCAGTTGGCCCCGGGCAAGCAATAATGCACGGCAAAACTGGAGGTAAATGAAGTGCTATGGAGGGAAATGGTACACATAGGAAAAAAAAAAAAAAAAATTCACCTATAAATACCATGTGTTCCACCACTTTTTTTTCACAACAATTCGTTACATTCATCAAAATATTAATTTAGCCATGGTTCATGAGCCCCCAATGTGTTCCTGCGGTGGTGGTCGGATGTATCGTTTAATGGCTAAAACATAAAGAAATTATGGTAAATATTTCTATCGTTGTCCTGAAGGAAAAAATCACCCAGGGAGTTTTCTTTGGGACAACAACTCAACGTGCTCACGGGAAAGTTGTCAAACTTTCAGTAATGCAGAATCCACTGCGAATAGTAGTCGCCATACAACTCGTGGGTCCAACTACTCCAGCACGTCACATGTGGAAACAAACACTAGATCGTCACTCCTTCTAATTGCATGCCCATTTTGTGTTTGTGGTTTTTTTGCCATAATTGGCTTCTTAACTATTGTAGCACTTTTCATCAACTTTATAAAAATCTAATTTATTGAATTTGAATTAAATTTTTTTTCCCGCATATGACTTTTTGTGGACATTTTACACGTACAATTATAGAAGTAGTTTATGTAATTTATGTTTACTTAATTTGTATGAAATCAATTTTACTTAAACAATAACAAACAATTTGTAGTAATCAGTAATATTTATAATACAATTTGTAGAACAAAACAAGGTGTAAAGAATATAAATATATTCGTAATTGCTATCATTATAATGAAGGAATTTTCTTACAAAAATAATAAAAGAGAAAGAATGAAAAAATGTATACTTTGGCCAAAAAACACCTCACAGAATAATTTGCACCTCCTATTAGTTTATAAAGCTGACTATAGAACAACGATATATTTGAAACAATTGCAATAATTACAGGTAAATTATAGGTAAATTATCATGTGTACATTAAATAAATTATTTGTTAAAATTTAAAGTACAATCAAATAAGGAATCGTTACGTTTCTTTTTACTGGTGGAGTAGTATTTGATAGTTTTCAAAAATTGACATGTACAAATTTTTTTATACTAACAAGTTCTGTACACATATTATTTATACAATTTTTTTCTTTTAAAATTGAATAGGACCAATTCATACACCTGTAAATCAATTATCACCTTCAAGTTTGGCCTATATATACCAACTTCTTTTTCTCTCAAAGGTCACTACACCACGACATAGAAATTATCATATTTATTTACAATCATGTGAAATTTTGCATTGCCACATACAAAGGATGAACATTTCTAATTTATACGAGAAGGGTTTCCACACAAATGGCGTCTTGCAGATGAAGAAAAATTTTGTACCATCCTTCTTCATTTCATCCAATCTGAAGGGATGAATTGCGAGGCTGACGTAGACATGGCATTTTAGAAAATTAACTATACTTGTTTGGCTGAAATTGATCCAAATTTGACGTTTAAAGAATGCTACGTCACGTTCATGGTGTTGAAAGACAAGTATCGGACATTTAAATTCCTTATAGAATGTGTAGATATTGTTTTCGACATACACGCAAAAACCATCTATCTGGACGAGGACGATCGAGAGGAAGCATTTGAGGTATGTACAGCCTAAATTGTCAGTTTTGTTAGAAGAATTAGTTATATTACTAACAAATTATAATTAGTAATAATTTTTTATTTTTTTAATATGTGATGTAGTTTTTTTGGAACAAAATCCTTCTAATTTCAATTTTCAAATACGGATTTTTGAAAAACAAAAATTATCTATGAATTAAACTTCGTATATATATTTCGTTTCTTCTTTTTTTCTTAGTTCTGGCCATTAGCACACCATTACTGTAACAATCCTGAGCCTCTTTGGGAAACCTTGAAAATAATTTTCGAACCCCTATGGCTTTACTCATATCCTGGCGAAGACCTCGCGAGAGCTCGACGTAACTCCCGCAAACTCGACCATTTACTTCGTGACTTCCAGGCTGAAGAACGACGTATGGCAGCTCGAAGAAGGAGAGGAAATTGAACATTGACTGTGTACCTATATTTGAAAATGTGGCAGATGTTGCATTATTTCGCAGTTTCATAATTAATGTGTTTTATGAAAAAAATTAGTGTGTTTGCAATGTCAATTGAAGTTTATGTTGTATTGTGTACAATGTCATGCAACACCATACCGTATATGTTGTCGTTTCTTTACACTCGAAATTAGCTAATTTCAAAATTCAACTAAACTATTTATTAACTAAACTATATGGTGAAAACGTTAACAGAAATAGTATTATTATGAAACTAAACTAGTTAGTAAGTAAACNATAGACAGAAACAAAAATAATAAAAGAAGAAATCACCCTTTGCACGAAAACATTGACGCAACAAAAACTGACAGAGTGGACATCGTGGATGTTACCATTTTTTTGGTTTAGGGTTTTTTCTTTCGCGGGTGATGCGTGCTTGATTTTTTTTCCTTGTGCTGTTTTAAAAAAAATTCATACACCCAATGTTGTTTGGAATTTTTTTCTCTAAATAACAATTTTTTTTCCAGCCAATTTTGAAGGTAAATAATATTAAAAAAGAATATTTTTTCCCAAATAATGAAACTACAATAATTCAAAAATTATCTATTTACAAAATACTTAGTTAATTAACATGTTACTATTATTACTACACTTACTACATAATTTTTTTATTATCTAATCTTATTTTACACCGATATATATATATATTGAAATATGTGAGCGTCAATTACATTAATTTTAATATACTCGTTCATTATATTATTGACCTCGTTCATTTATTAAACAACATTGTCGCATTTTTCAAATAACAACATTTGAACTTGGCATACATATAAGGTTATAACAAGGCAGTGAAACATCCAACAATAATATAGAATAGCTAAGCGCGTCTGTTCCCTCGATCCGCCCACAAAGCGGATGCAATTGAGTCACGCAATGCACACTGTTCCCTATAAGCAGATTGTGAAACATTCAAAGAGGGGTTCCAACCACTCGTTTCCTCGTCTACATCGCTTTGGGGAATAGAGTCGAGGGCGTGCAAAGACGGAGGTACGTTATCATTGTCTTCATCACGTGGTGGAAAATAGTCCAGATCGTAGAAAGACGGAGGTAGGTTATCAGACTATTGGTGTCGACGAATGAAGTTATGTAAAACACAACATGCGAGCTCGATATTTTTCTGGCAGTCGACCGAGTATCTGGGCATGAGACCTCTAATAATGGGGAATTTATTTTTTAATATGCCAATTGTACGTTCAACTACTGTACGGAGGGACGAATGTCGTTTATTAAATAGCTCTCGTGCGTTGGTAGGAGTTCGATTTGAGCCAACCCACTCCGGTAAATGGTACCTCTCACCTTTGTAAGGTGTCAAGAATCCCGGTACATTAATGTAACCAGAGGCGTATCCCAAAAATTTTAGATTAATCGTAATTTACGCCCAAACCCAGAAAATTAAATAAATTATTATCATTACCCAGGGGCGGCCACGGGAAATCGATTGTGGAATCTCGTAATGTTTCTTGGAAAATGCGAGCATCGTTGGCACTGCCTTCCCAACCAGATAGAACAAATGTGAAATTGCACTCGAAATCACACACCACCATTACGTTTTGTGCTAGGATATCTTTTCGGCATCTGTAAGACCCGTTTCTCTGTTGAGGAACCCAAGCTGGTATTAGAGTCCCGCCTATTGCGCCGATGCAATCTTGAAATTAATTCAAAAGGTAGTTAATATATTTATGCATAATTTCTTACTATAATTAGGAGACCAATGGTACATACCTTAAAGTATGGACAGACACGCGGATTATTACGTATATAAGGAGGGACCCGATTAAAATCGGGGTGGCGAATGTACTGTGGTGCGAGCATATGTAGAGCGTCTACCATCATGTGAACATGATTACTGATCGTCTCCAATGAGCGTCTGAATCTCTCAGCTGCAAGTCGTAGCCTTTGGTGGCCCTTAATTGTGAACAGAAAAATAGTAACGCTTTCTTCATGGGTAATTTTTTTTTGTATGGCATGGTCGTGGTTGTTGTTGTTTCTTGTTGCGTCGCACAACAATGTGTATACCATCTTGTCCACCCTGAGTACATGAAAAAATCTTTTATCGGGGCCCATGTACAACTCATTAATCCAATCCATTCGAGTAAATGGGGTGGATGCAACTGGACTTCTCTTAATTCGTGGTTTTCTTTGTGACGTGGACGGTAGTGAAGTAGCAAGTTGTTCATATAGTGAATCAAGTTGTGCTGCATAAACAAGGACTTTTTCTTCAGCGTCGTCCGCACTATCGCCCATATCGTCTTCAGTTTCTACACAGTCATCGATATCGTCATCACAACTGTTTTCCAATTCATGCTCAGCTTGCTCGCTAGAATCCTCACGGTCGGAGTATTGATTGCATTCATCATCCATGCCAGACATCCTACATTAGTAAAATGCATAACCTAAAAATAAGTTGTAACATGAACCAAATGGTTGAAGACGAGAAATATTATGAATCACAATCGTCATACAAACACAAACAAACAAGCGTACTGAAAAAGAAAACAAGTCATAATAGTCTTTAAAGCAACTCAAGAAAAAAAAAAAATAAACGCAGTGTCACTACTGCGAGCTCTCTGCAACCCAACGGTCAATTAAAGCTCTACGATGTGCTTCGACTTTTAGGGAAACAAACAATCTGCGGTTGAAAGGTACTTCAAACATTTTACACACAAGCATGACAACATCGACCGACAAATCTGTATAAGCTTCGAGCTCGGCAATCGCTCTTTCAGTCGTTGTTGCAACTTGCTGAAGCGCCCTCCGTGTCTCAGCAATGGAATTCATGACGGTGTCATTGGACTGGGATGGAGCTCTACGACGACGAGTTGAACGGCTGCTGTCCGGAGTGTTCCATTTACCACTATCGGAAAACATTTCATTTTTCGGGATCGGAGTTGGACTCCTCCTGACCCATGTCCTCCCATGTGGCGGTTGAGTAGAAGCTGTTGCCAGACTACCAGTAGCGGTTTTCCCGATGAAAATGGTGGTAAGTTCGTCGTAGTGAGGACATGTTCTGTTCTTCAAAAATTCGTCCTTTGGGTGTTTCTGCATACAGTATTACATTGGTTTCCATTAAACACTTTTTTGAGGAAATATACTGACGTAAACATTGGAATATGAATCGTAGCAGCAAAGAAACGTCTACAGTAGATACTGTTAATGTGTACATGGAAATAACAGGGGCTCCCAACAGAGATGCAAAAATAGAATGAAACGACCAACTACCCCATATGAACTACTAATTTCAGGTGATAGTGCAGATTTGGATGACAAAGATCCATAAACAGAATAGGAGGTACAAAAGCATATATACAAAGCATATTAAAAAACAGAAATTGATGTTCAAAAGCGTATATTAAAAACCCAAAAAAGAAGCCGCTATCAAGTAGCAGCTACAGCAACTTTTTTCAACAAAAAAGAACATGCACTCAGATGAACAAGCAAGAAATTTGATGATGCGTTTGTTCCCCTTTAAAAATTGTGTGGCTTTTTTAGGTTAGTTGACATGAAAACACAGCTGGTATGCTCCACTCTTGCTTTGCTACATAACATTATCTCGCTCTTCATTAAGATGCATTTTGTTTTAGTTCAGTAATTTTTTGTATGTGTTCTATAATTGTTCGAAAATGGCAGTTGCATAAGTACACTAGAAATAGAAGCTGCTACCAAAACAAAGTTACACAAGCAGTTGACTTAAGGTAGAAACTGCTACCAAGCCACAGTTACCGTGTAGTACACCTAAGGTAGAAGCTGGCACCAAATAGCAGCTTAAGTACATAGCAGTACACAACCAAATAAACCAAAAAAAAAAAAAATATATACAAAAGAACAAGCAACAAAAAGCATGCATTTGTATATGAAAAATAATGCGCTACATTTATAAGCAGTCAAGTCTACCATTAGTGGCAATTTAAAACAAATCGTTACCTGAGTCCATATAGCCAAAGCCTCGTTGCTTCCCGTGATCATGTTTCTGGTTGGGCACCAACCAAAACCGATTGCACTTGTCTGCATCGTATGGAATTGACGCCAATATGTCTTCAAGCGAGACTGTTTACCATGAAGTTGCCTCGCTTCATAAGGTGGGAGGGGGAAAATGCGTTCATTTAGTTTGCTAGTAATGGAATTCCATTGAGTTGTAGTAAAGTTACTGCCGACGCAAATTTGATTCAACACTTCTTCCAGCATCCGTTGTATGAACTCAACCTCTGTTTCCGGTGTCCATTTCGCAGATTCAACAGCTTTCTTGCCTTTGGAATGACCAGTGTTGTCCGTACCCAAATTCTACACCATCCAAGTTTTGTGCGCAATTTTCAGAGTAATATCAAAGTGAAAAATGATGTAATGTATATTCACAGCATTGTACCCGCCGGTGTCAGAGTAGGAGAAAAGTAGTGTAATTAAATAGAGTAATCTTAAAACAATTGAGCCGAACAACTCACTAATGTATATAATTTTTGCACAACATACGGTAAACAAATAAACATATCTGCAAACACACAAACATGGACATTAACACAATTTCTCTAAAGAAGGAAGTTCGGATTTTGCAGAAACCGTAATTCCCAAATTCAAGTTTTTCAAAATTTGGGGAATATAGAAAAAAATTTCAGAAAAAAATATTGTCAACCTGCTTAAAACACAAGGTATTAGGTCGCAAAGGCAGAGAATACCGAACGACCAACATCTGTGAAGGAGATACCTGTCTTGGCCGCTCTTGTTTTTTCGCCGACGAAGTGACCGAGAGACTACCGGTGCTCTAGGTCCTGTCGTTGCTCGACTCCGTCTGAGGGGTATTGGCAGGAGAAGGGACCTTCTCGGCCAATTGAAGAGGTGGATCGGATGGGTTTATTTTTTGGGGGAAGAGGGTTTGAATTTATGGAGGAAAGAACTAGTCGAACAGAATTTTGTTTATTTATTTTTTCTTTTTTGAGACAGAGCGGTCAAAAGAAGCATGGACGTGTTATATCATCTCAGTTAATGTTTCCTGGTCCCACTTTATAATAGAAATTGAGAAAAAGCAGTATTCTTGGAAAAAACTCAAATTGGCATTTTTTTTCAAAAGCAGAACTTTTGGCTAAAATATTTCATAAACAAACATCTCCTTAGCTACTGTGTTTAATAATTAATAAAGAACATCGAAAACTGCCATACAATCCAAACCATGGTGCTCAATTACACCAGTCCCGCCTACGCTATTGCGCTCATCTTCTTGCTAATATTTGCGAGAGAGGAACAGATTCTTCAAGGTTTCGGGATTAGAGTATAAATTTGGGTAAAGGGTTTTTTAGTAAATAGAATAAAATATCATACTTAGTATCTTTTTTTTTTCCGCAACGTCATACAACTTGATTAAAACTCATGAAACTGTCTTACAACCGATGGTCTACTGACCAAAAGGAACAACCATAAGGACAAAGCCCATACATGGGAAAATTTCCAACAGAGAGGATTACACATTAATCCCCCTTACAGGCCAGCTTGGCCAATCTAAAACTAGAAATACAAAATGAAAAACCTAACACAAAAACACAACGAGCTAAAGTTGAAGATAAAATTGAAATATCAAGCACAATACTCTTGTACTGATTATGTAAATCCATGTCTCTGATTGTGTCTTGAACCTAGTTATGGTCTCTCACACAGCAGCAGAAATCCACTAAGCCATGTAAAGATGCCATCTCTAAACCCCATCTTAGTCCTATGAGTTCAGCAGCTTCATCATAGTCGACATTTTCCATTTTATCAGTCCAAGTTTGTAGAATTTTATCTTCAACAGCAGCAACACACCCAAGGCCAACTCTCCCCTGGTTGGATCTGTGAGCACTGATAGCTAAACAAATCTTACATACTCTACCTTGAAAATGATCCACCCACTTCAAGTTGCACCACTCCAACTCTGGCCATACTAACACTCACCTTTCCTAGCAGCCAATACCTCCTTCCTACTCAATGAAGCTTTCTCCACCACAATTTTTTCCCCCATCCACACCTTATTGAATACCCATTCATTTCTTGCTTTCCACAATTCCCAAATCAAACAACCAGAGAGACTTAATCTCTCCACCATCCTCCTGCTTTTAAAACAACCACTTACTTCCCCCCACCAACTCCTGAAGTCTCCAGACCCAGACACCAAGCTCTGCCATTGAACCCCACATATTTTTCAACACCTTGCAGCTCTATCACACTGAAACAGCATATGATTAACATCCTCCACACCCATACCACAACAATCACAGATTTCATCACCCTGCCCTCCTTTGGTATGTAATCTGTTTTTAACCCCAAGAAATCCAAATCAGCACCTCCAGAGAAAAGTTTTGATTTTGTTCAGAATAGGCAGCTTCCAGATGGTGTGCCAAACTTTCCTGAGTTTTTCATGGTTGTTGCTGGTTCCAATCCCTTGGTGAGATCTCAGACCTTTATGGTTGAGGATTGTCTGGTACACATTCTTCACTGAGAAAGCTTCTGAATGTTGGCCATTCCAAATCAGTCTGTCCTTGGTCCCAGGATTAGCCAGAGGGATGCTAAGGATTAAACCTGCTTCAAAGGGATTAAAACATTGTAAGACCAACTCCCTTTCCCACCCATTAGATCCCTCTAAAAACAAGTCCTCCACCCATGTTAGCCTCTCCTTATCATCCTGAAATTCACATTTAGGTTTGAACCCAGTTAAATTGGGTACTCAAGGTGAATTCCAAACATGAATTGACTTCCCATCACCCACTCTATACCTAGCCCCCAATTTTAGACTCCCTCTTGCCCCCATCTAACTTTTCCAAAGCCAAGAAACTGAGCTTTTGGTTTTAACCTCAAACACATTTGAACCCCAACAATATTTACCCTTGAGAAGTTTACTAACCAATAGATTAGGTTGAGTAATAGTTCTCCAGAGTTGTTTGACCAAAAGAGCTTCATTAAATGCCTTTAAATTTTTAAAACCTAATCCTCCAAACTCCTTAGGTTTAGTCAGCTCATCCCAATTGACCCAATGTATTCTTTCCCTTTTTCCCACCAAAAAGAAGCCATATCTCTGTTCATGGATTGGATCATAGATTGAGGCACCCTGAAACAAGACATAACATAAGTTGGCAAAGCACTTAAAACAGATTTAATGAGGGTTTCTCTCCCAGCTTCACTCAAGAACATATTTTTCCAACTCTCAAGTTTTTTTTTAACTCTCTCAGTCAAGAAATTAAATACTTCTCTCTTGGTTCTCCCTATCCCTAGAGGAAGCCCTAGGTACCTAGAAGAGTGAACACAGGCAATACCATTAAGGATAGAACAAATTTCAGCTTTAGACCCAGGAGAAATATCTGAAGATTGAGAGCCTGACCAGAATCAAGGCCATAGGCACCCAATAAATTGAGAATTAAGTGTGCATGGTGCTTATTAGCCTTGCAAAAGAGAATAGAATCATCAGCAAAAAACAAATGGGTAATGACAGGAGCCTTTCTACCTATTCTAACACCCTGATAATCCTTCCTAAGACTGGCCTGATGAAGCAAGTTAGAAAAAGCCTCTGAATTGAGAATAAAGAGATATGGAGAGAGAGGGTCTCCCTGTCTTAGCCCCCTGGAGGGCCTAAGAAAACCCTGAGGCCTGCCATTTAAATTAAAGGAAAAAGATGTAGAACAAACACAAGCAAGCAACCAATCCATAAAAATAGGACAGATACCCATATGCCTACAAATTCTATCCAAGAAGGACCATTCTACTCTATCATAGGCCTTGGTCATATCTAATTTAAGAGCCATCCAACTGTCTTTCCTTTTTCTTTTACTGTTTAAAAAGTGAATACATTAATTTGCAATAACCACATTATCAATGATTTGCCTGTCAGGCACAAATGCAGCTTGAGAAAGAGAAATGCAGTCAGGCAATATGCTTCTAAGTCTATTAGCCAAAATTTTGGCAATCACTTTATACACCACCGAGCACAGACTTATGGGTCTAAAATCAGATACAAGTTGAGCATTAGTCTTCTTGGGAATTAAAGTTAAGACAGTATGATTCAGCCCTTTAGGTAATCTGCCCATTTGAAAAAAAAAATTGAATAGCCTGACAAAAAGTATCTGTAATGACAGACCAAGCTTTCTGAAAAAACATCACTGTCATCCCATCAACCCCCGGGGCTTTGCATTGTTCCATACCCATCAGAGTGTCCTGAATTTCTTCAACTTCAACAGGTTTAATTAGATTCAAGTTCATATCACCTGTCACTGATGTAGGAATCCCTTCAAGAGAACAACTGTTGCCAAGGGGATTAGAAGATTTATAAACCTCTTCAAAATGCTTAAGCAATTCAGAGAGAATCTCCTGGTTATGCTCACATCTATTCCCAACAGCATTAGTAATAATATCCAGACAATTAATCTTTCTTCTTTGCTTAACAGATGCTTGAAAAAATTTAGAATTCTTATCACCATATTTCAACCAAGTTACTCTAGATTTCATCCTCCAAAATGTCTCTTCATCTTCATAAGCATGCAAAAGGGATTTACAATTCATCCAGTCAGCCCAGTTTTTATCTTCCCCTAAAGCTTCTAGCTCTCTAATTTTGCAGTTTAAATTCTCAATTTCAATGCTAGAGTTAGTTTTGGCACCAGCACTCCATTTAAGCAAGGCTACTCTCACCCTACTTATTCTGGTTTGGATACTCCATAGAGCGGGGCCTTCAACAGCCATATTTCAGGCCCTATCTACTACTTCCAGAAAATCAGGTTTTTTCACCCATCTAGCATCAAAAGAGAACCTCTTTTTAACAGGGTGACAGGTATTCAAATCTTCCAAAATAACCATACTGTGATCAGAAGATATAACAGAAACATGTTTAACTTTGCAATTAGAGAATTTTAAGGCCCAGGCAGGAGACACCAAGAATCTATCCAACTTTTCTTCCACCAACTCACTACCTTTCCTATTATTAGACCAAGTAAACTGATAGCCAACAGTTTTAGGCTCAACTCCACCTATACCATACACAAAAAAAGCAGCCCACATATTCTCAGAGGTGCTTTTCCAGTTGAACTTAATTACAAGACAAAACTCCAGGTTGGTAATTTCAATCACAGAGACTTGATCAGACCAACATAATAGCATCCCTCCTCTAGTGCCAGAAGGATTCCCATAAAACCATCTATCACCTAACCTAAGCTTCCTACAGACAGAAGTAACAAACTTTTGTTGTTTTTTTTTTTTTTTTTCAGAAATAAAAGCAAAATCAGGGAGGTGGAGCCTAAGGGCCTCCTTGAAATGGGAAATTGTAGAGGGTCCTCCCA